CAGCAACGCACACACGCATCACGCTGGCATACACATACAGAAAAGCAGGCACACACGCATCATGCGCATTGGCCGGTGGGACGCACGCAGAGCAAGTACGTACGCACAGAGAGCAAGCTAGCAAGCACGCACGCGTCCAACCCCGCCGCTGCATGCGCTGGCAGAAGGTGAGGCAGCAAGGGAGACTGCACATTGAAGCTGTCCATGCAAGGCTGGAGGTGCTGGGCCGGCGACGGCGGTGTCGGGATGGCTCTTGATTCGTTCCCGGTGGCGTGGAGCTTGGGGCGGCAACGCGGCGATAGCTAGTGCTCGGGGATGGGGGTTTGGGGCGGGGGCAGTCGACCCGATGGCTGGCGAAGTTAACGGGCTTGGGCGGCTGGAAATTCGGCGGGTGGCGGCGGCACAGCGCGAGGATGGGACAGGCGGAAAACCTAGCGGGCGTTCAACTACCAATACCCACGCCTTTTTTAGGGGAATTGCTTGTGAAAATAACGTGCGACGATGACTTAGCGAGCGGATCCCCTTAAAAAAGATATAGCGAGCAGATTCCCTTAAAACTGGTAGGAATGGATACGATTGATGACGTTGATAAATAGTGGTGAATGTTGGCCTAATTTACTATCATCATGCATGGAAATGAACCATCAAGAAAAAGAATACTTCCTATTACTACACTCATAGGAAGCTTCCTAATCTCTGCTACCAAACCGTTTCTGCCCAAACAAGGAAGGAAAGTTATGGACGTGATTCGGAAGGAAACAAACGTTATGAAGATTAATTAATTTAGATTTGATCTTTAGAGATTGATTATGATTGATTCTTTTACATAAAGACATTACTAAATAATTTGCGTCAGTATGGAAAGTTCTGATCCGTTCAGTTTTTTTCGTTGTGTGAGAGGGTGAAGTGAAAATAAACCGATGAAGTGGGGGAGGCGACGAAAAAAATCTACGATGGTTAACCTACGAAAAAAAACCGGACGAAAGTGGTGGGACGAAAAAAAACCTGGAAGCGAGACTACCAAGTGGTGGCGATAGCTAGTGCTCGGGGATGGGGGTTTGGGGCGGGGGCAGTCGACCCGATGGCTGGCGAAGTTAACGGGCTCGGGCGGCTGGAAATTCGGCGGGTGGCGGCGGCACAGCGCGAGGATGGGACAGGCGGAAAACCTAGCGGGCGTTCAACTACCAATACCCACGCCTTTTTTTAGGGGAATTGCTTGTGAAAATAACGTGTGACGACGACTTAGCGAGCGGATCCCCTTAAAAAAGACATAGCGAGCAGATTCCCTTAAAACTGGTAGGAATGGATACGATTGATGACGTTGATAAATAGTGGTGAATGTTGGCCTAATTTATTATCATCATGCATGGAAACGAATCATCAAAAAAAAAAGAATACTTCCTATTACTACACTCATAGGAAGCTTCCTAATCTCTGCTACCAAACCGTTTCTGCCCAAACAAGGAAGGAAAGTTATGGACGTGATTCGGAAGGAAACAAACGTTATGAAGATTAATTAATTTAGATTTGATCTTTAGAAATTGATTGTGATTGATTCTTTTGCATAAAGACATTACTAAATAATTTTCGTCAGTATGGAAAGTTCTGATCCGTTCAGTTTTTTCGTTGTGTGAGAGGGTGAAGTGAAAATAAACCGATGAACTGGGGGAGGCGACGAAAAAAATCTACGATGGTTAACCTACGAAAAAAATCCGGACGAAAGTGGTGGGACGAAAAAAAACCTGAAAGCGAAACTACCAACTGCTCCATTAAAAGTAGAGATTAAATGACCATATTGCCCCTAGTATATAGAAAAATAACAATCAAACAACACCATAGGGTGGCGGGCCATTAAATGCATGGAGGGGCATTGTTAGAAAAGTCCCAAAAAGTCCCAAAAAAGACTCTCTTTGAGAGTCTTCTTCATTTAGTCCCAAATGTCTAGTTTAGTCCCTAAAAAGTCCCTCCCATTTGGTAAAAAAGTCTTTAAGAGGGACTTTTTCTAGTCTCTACACAAAGAAGTCCCTGAAAACAAACACCCCCTTATACTCGGGAATTCATTGATAGTGACTTTTGAACTTCAGGGAATGTTTAGGGTTTGACTTTGATTTGACCATTTTTATTGGAATTCATGTGTTTTTTCCTATTCCTTTGAACCAGTTCAGGGCCTTTGATTCAAAGAAAATCCATCGAACTAGTCAGTCAACAAAGTTGTCCTGAGCAAAGACGTGCCAGTCTTAATGTTTATTCGCATGCCATCCTTGGAAGCAAATCCAGTACTCCCTTCATTTCACAATATAGTGTAATCATGCTTTTCAAGATCTAAATTTGACCATAAATTTAACCAACGAAACTGACTGCAGCGGGGGCAAAAAATATACCACTAAATTCGCAGTCGGTCTCGTTGATTAAATGTATGGTCAAACTTAGTTCTCGAAAAACGGGGATGCACTACATTGTGAAATGAAGGGAATACTTTTCATAGAGGCAACGATTTCGGCATATGAAACACCAACAACCCTGAACATCTCCTTTCTAAGGGTCAGTTCTTTTGGGCGGCTTAAAAAATAAGCTGCCTTTCCCCAGCTTAAAAAATAAGCCACTCCCAAAATTTATGGAGGCTTCTAGATTAGTAATCCCATAACTAGTTCAGAAGCTCCAATAAATAAGGAAGGGGGCTTATGACAAAAGCTAGGGAGGAGGCGGCTTAATTTTTAAGCCGCCAAAAGAACTAGCCCTAAATCAAGAATGCAAAAGCACTTGATATCTCAAAAATTATCAGCGGATGTGAAAAATCTTAGGGATGTGGAACTTGTGAGGACGATTCCATCTTAAAAAAAGAGGGTTTGATTGAGCATCGAGGAACAAAAGAATTTAGTCTAAAATACTAAAAAGAAGATCAGTTTTTTTCATTCTTCAAGAACTTCATATCTTGCTGAGATCTTCACCCCTAAGAAAAGTTTTCCCAACACGGGAAGGAAGTCCCTTCTAAATTGGATTTGTTATTGTAAGGGGATTTTTAAGTATTTATCTAAAAGAAGGAACAAACGAGAATAAGAGAAACTTGTTACATTAATCCTCTCATACCTACTAATTGGTGTACTTGAGATGTATTTCCTCTGGCTCCTGAAAAAGACATTAGATAGACTGGATTAGAAGGATCCGTTATCCGAAAATTTGAATTTATTTCTTGTTTCAAATATTCACTTGTCGCATACCATATCTCAATAGATTGGCATAATTTTTCTACCGCGTGTACATCCCCATAATAATAGTGTTTCTTCAAAAGAAAACTCTGTTGTTCCGCGTCTTGGACTGAGGCAATCCTTCTCTTCTCACTTCAAGATTGATCATCTCGAGCTATCCGTTGAGGGTGGAAATTTAAGAATAAATATGTAAGATCAATGACTTAGGATTTAGATGTGCAATACTTATGCACATCTAGATGTGCTTTAGCAAAACTGAATTTTGATATGGGTTGCAAACGTCATTAGCCATTTGCAGGCGACATGTGTCATGTTAATTCTGTTGGGTTTTGTCCTGGTCACCACGAAATCACTAATTAAGGAGTACTCATTGCAAAGAACACTCCACTTTCCCAGGTCGCGACAAGTGGCGCACATGTAGCGCGCCACTTGTCGCAACCAGGGAGTTTTCCTTTTTTTCATAGATTCGTTTATTCAAAACGTTTTATCTCTTAAACCGTGCATCCAAATCTCGAACCGTTTTCACCACTGGATTCCTCGCGTCGAGATCTTCAAAACTAGATCTCATGTTGATAGGTTTTGACGAACTTTTTTTTAACGAAAAAATCAGACGAAAAAAACCGGGTGAAAAAACCGAACAGGGAGCACGGTTTTTTCCCTTTCCAAAAGAGGCACGCCCGTGCCTCTCGCGAAATCACAACCGTGCCTCTCGTGAAAACAAAACCGTGACTCTCGTGGAAGAAGAAAAAACAGAAAACATGTTTTTTTCGTTTCCGAGAGGCACGACCGTGACTCTCGCGAAGGCACAACCGTGCCTCTCGCGAAAGCAAAACCGTGACTCTCGGGAAAGAAAAAAAGCAGAAAACACGTATTTTTCCCTTTCCTAGAGGCACGGCCGTGACTTTCACGAAAGCACAACCGTGCCTCTCGCGGAAGCAAAACCGTGACTCTCACGGAAAAAAACAGAAAATGTGTTTTGTTTTTCCCTTTCCTAGAGGCACGGTCGTGACTTTCACGAAAGCACAACCGTGCCTCTCACAGAAGCAAAACCGTGACTCTCACGAAAGAAAAAAAACAGAAAACACATTTTGTTTTTCCCTTTTCCGAGAGGCACGGCCGTGACTCTTGCAAAAGCACAACCGTGCCTCTCGCGGAAGCAAAACCGTGACTCTCACGAAAAAAAAACCGAAAACGCATTTTTTTTTGTTTCTGAAAGTCACGGCCGTGACTCTCGTAAAGCACAACCGTGCCTCTCGCGAAAGAAAAACCGTGACTTTCGCGAAAGGAAAATAAAAGAAAACGCGTTTTTTTCGTGCAAAAAATATTTTTTTTCAACTTTTTTTATCGGAAAGCTAAGAAAGACCGGGGAAAAACCAAAACGTCAAAAAACCCGGGAAAAAACCGTTTAAAAAGCCGAAAACGTGTGCGAAAAAAAAACAAAATCCGAAGGAAGCGTCCAGAGCGCAACACATGGCGAATGGCCGAGAGCGCGCCAAATGGCGCTGATCGTTGCAATGCTCCCGAAGGAGCGCTCGTTAACTAGTTGCTCCTTGGTCACCAGGAGAGGATTAAATTACTCTGGTCACTGGGCCCGTAAACAGGTCTTTTTTAACACGTTACCCGGCCCAGCCAAACGAGGCGTGGGGCCCCAGGTCCACCGCGGAAGCCACGCCACCCCACGTCCATCCGCATATAAGCCCTCCCCGGCTCCAACCCTACTGCTCCTGTGTTTCCTCTCGCCGCCGCCGTCGCCTCCTCCTCTCCCGCCTGCGTCGCATCGCCACCGCCTTCGCCATGGGGAGACGTAAGATCGCTCGATCCGTCCCATCTCCGTTCCCTACCTCCCTTTTCTTGTAATAATCTCGCTACGTTTCGATCCGTGCGATGTGTGGACGCGGCTGTGCGGTAGGGTTTTGTCTCCCGTGCCTTGGTCTTGCCTGATCTAGCGGTCTAGCCCTGTGTGAGATGTCGACGCGCGCGAGTTCCCTTGAGATGGTATCATGTTAGGGTTACGTCTCTGCCCACCGCTGTCGAGTTTTCGGTGTTTGGCATCTCTGCGCCTATGCGTTTCGGGTAAAATTGGATGGATGCCGTGGTTATTCCCTTTAGACTTGGCAATGCTGGTTCTATTTGCATTTGACACCTTGTAGGTAAGTTGATGCTCTGGTCCTAGAGTTTTTCCCCGTGTTGTATGATGTAGATTGTGTGGCTTTGATCGGCTGTTGTCTATACAAATCTTTTTTGCTATCATCAATATCGTGTTAATGTTGAGCTCTAACCTCTTCAGAACTAGGGCAACAGTATTGTCTAAAAGCTGTTCGTTTGGCATGGTTTCCAGGGAATTTTACTCTCCTAATCATTTCTGTTTCATGTGTATATTGTGATTGCCAATTTGTAACCATGCTACTCTGCAATACCTCTGATTTTTCTTGCATGGGTCTTGTTGTAATAATATGTTAATGTGTTTATAGGTTTCAGATGTGACGTATGATGTTGTTACTAAAAAATGTTAGTTGTACACTGTCTGTTTATTAGGATCCACATCATTTTCTGTGGACTTCGTTAAAACCAGAATTATTGTTGTGGAGTATATGATGGTGTTTATCTATGTCACCCCATTCCATTTTTGTTGCTTGATTTGTGTTAATGTTGGTATTAACTATTACCTTCTGTATACATTTCATTGGTTAAGGCTGTAGGTTCACTGTAATTTGTAGAGAATCTTTGTATGATTTAAATTTGGCCACACAGCCACAACTTTCCCTTTGGGTTATGTAAGAAGTAAATTTCTACCTGTGCTGCTTTCATGGAAAGCCATGACTGCAATATTTTCTATTTCTGCTGCCACCTTGCATATTATAAACTGTGTGCTGATTTTCTGAGAAGTTTTGGTTAGTGAAAGCATTTCTGAGGTGTCATTCAAGTTGACTTGTTCCTCTCTGATTGCACCTAGCTAATGTATTTTGTTGATTGATATGAGCTTTACCTCTTCTATTATTCAAATTTTTGTTTCCTGATTCAATGCTGATAATTGAGACCCTTCCATGTGTATTTGGTTTCTAATAATTTTGGTGCTTTGTTCCTCTGATCAGGACCTGCTAGGTGCTACCGCCAGATAAAAAACAAGCCATACCCCAAGTCAAGGTACTGTCGTGGTGTACCTGACCCGAAGATCAGGATCTATGATGTTGGGATGAAGAAGAAGGGAGTGGATGAGTTCCCCTCCTGCGTCCACCTGGTCAGCTGGGAAAAGGAGAATGTCTCTAGCGAGGCTCTTGAGGCTGCCCGTATTGCTTGCAACAAGTACATGACGAAGAATGCTGGAAAGGATGCGTTCCACCTGAGGGTCAGGGTCCATCCATACCATGTCCTTCGTATCAACAAGATGCTTTCATGTGCCGGGGCTGATAGGCTCCAGACTGGAATGAGGGGTGCTTTTGGGAAGCCTCTGGGTACCTGTGCTCGTGTGGACATTGGCCAAGTACTCCTATCTGTGCGCTGCAAGGAGAGCAATGCTGTTCATGCTGATGAAGCCCTCCGCCGTGCCAAGTTCAAGTTCCCTGGCCGTCAAAAGATCATTCGCAGCAGGAAGTGGTATGTCACCTGTCTTATCAAATTATACTGGTTGTTTCATTGTGTTATGGAAAGTCGGAAATTCTATGAGATGACTAGATTGAAGCATTGCTAATCTGCACTTGATTTTCCAGGGGCTTTACCAAGTTCAACAAGGCTGATTACATCAAGTACAAGAGTGAGGGAAGAATCGTGCCTGATGGTGTCAATGCTAAGGTGATACATTTTTTCCCACTGAAACATCTTAATGTTTGCTTCAGTTCTGTTCTACTAGACTATACAATTCGCAAAACTTAAAATGTAATGTTGGTTGCTTAATTCCATTCCACATTTTTACTGCTTGTTACAGTCAAGTCTGAGCTCCAGTTTATTGTTGTGTGTATCATAATATAAATATTCTGATTCCTAATAATAATCTATCAGTGGTACTAAGTTGGTCAAATTTGTTCCATGTTAACATGATGCTTACTTAAGGGCTAATATCAAGTTAAACCTGAATGACCATATGTTTTTTGTAATAACTATCTTTATATTCCTATATACTGCTTGTCATAGTTCTCTTGCATCATATTCTGAACTTGTATAATTCTATGTATTGTTTGCTGGTATGTTTTCGTTCCATGTACTTGCATATTGAATTGCTTGTCTATTGTTGGTTCTTACACTTGTAACATTTATCTCACACAGTCTCGTACTGATTCTTCTTCCAACTCTTGTGCAGCTGCTTGGTGTCCATGGCCCCATTGCTAAACGCGCCCCTGGGCAGGCGATCCTGGCTTGAGGCAGTTGAAGCATGCACAGACCATTTCCTTCGCTAGATGGAACTCATGAGTTTTGTTTTTGCTTTAGCCAGTATATTTCCCCATGCTTGAACGAGTGTTAAGTAAAGATGGCAGCTGGCTGCAGTATAATCTACTTCTGTAGTTCTTTACTGTAGACCGTTTCTCATGGTGGAGGTTGACATATCTGCAGTTGTCCTGTTTTAGCACTTTCTTGAGATTGTTATCTACAAGTGCTGAAATTTTCTGGATCATCTATGAATGATGTATAACTTTTGCCTATGCAAAATCACCTTTCATTGATGTGTGGCTAGTTATGCTTGTTTGTTTGTTCTGTTCTACTTGAGGCATTCAAGTAAATATTGGTAATGCTGCTCAAATTGCACCTAATCTGCTTATAACAGTTTAGTGTTCAAGGGAATGTTGCTACTGCGTTCAGTTGCATTTAACCTAGTTTGATTGTATTTCCACAATGTTCTCCATTGTCTCCCAATTTTCCTTGGCCTTGACAATCAAGGCGTGCCTTGGTGGAGCGCTGGTGCGACAGTCAGGGCGGTTCTGTGCACTTGCGGCAATCTCACGGCAGATCCATGTGGTGGGCTTCTTCTCCACTAATAAATTTACATGTTCAACTTGCTTTGAAAAAATGGTTTCTATGTAATAAGTTGTTAATATTCAACAACCCTGTGTAAAAAATGATCACATAAATCTAAACAGTTAACCTTCCATCTATAAGGTAGAGCGGTGGCTACTCCTCCTATGCTAAAGTAATTGTGCACCATTCACATAGTACATGTAGCGGCTTCAATATATGGAACTTTGTTTACCCACTTTGAATTGAGGATCCGTTTCCCTCGTTCTCCCTTTAGGGCCAGAAGTCCTATATTAATCGAAGTGCGTCAAATCATTGCTATTTGACTCTGGACTGGTTCTAAATAAGTCGAGGTATTTCAAATAGTTTGTTGACATAGACAAAGGGAAAACCTTTGAACAAATTTCTGTGTTGATCTTGGACATATAAGAATTTTAAATCAAATCTCTTTAGAAAGATGATCTTTTGTCTCATAGTAGTCTGCTTCGTTATCTGGTTAGCCATACACTTCACATAGCGATTCACATGGCATCATCAAATGATATAGATCTTAATGAACGTTTTAGCGGGCGAGGGCTTCAGTGGGGTCATGCGTCATTTCTCCTTTTATCCTTTGTGTGCTTGCTTTGTTCGTAAGCTTTGTTAGATGTGCTCATGAGCACCATGTATCTAGCTTGGCCGTGTGGGGTTTCATCCTAAGCTCCTTCTTGACAGTTTATAAAACGGGACAAAAGCCTATCTTCCAAGAGTTTTCAAATGCATGTTGTATACATCTAAAAAAAGATCATGTTGTATAGAGAGGATGGCATATTACTTAAATTCGACTTTGAGCGCATTGAACACAGGTACCGTAACATGGCCAACAAAATCAATTACTCTACCTCACTTAAGATGAGTTTGCACAACATCATCATGCTAAGAACAAGATCCAGGCATCCAGCAGTGAAAAAAGAGAAGAAAAACGAGATCCAGCAAATAAATGGGCGATATACACAGGTTACAAAGGAAAGTAGGGTGCTTAAGTACAGATTCACCATCATCATTTTCTGGTTCCCATAACAAGATCAATTGTTTTCTTTACAGCTTCCGGAAACCTCTAGAGAGCTACTACAATCAATCCAGAGTCTAGCGGGTTCATGAACATTAGAAAGAGATGATCAGCAAAAGGAAAATCATATATTTCTCACCTTTTCAAGAGCAGAAACCAGAATATATTTCTCAATTCAGTTCTGTTGAGAAGTCTGTCTGTACCATACCAACATACGTGAACCAATTCAACCGTCCCCTTTTCTTCTTCTGTCTGGCTATAAGTCCAGTATTTTCCAATCATTGTTGTGTGAGGTTAGTCAATCGGTGCTTTCATTGGTGGCAGGACTCAAGTCGCATGCTCACCCAGGTTCAGAATTCTATGCAGGGTTCTGAATGTTACCTACTATACCATCATTGCCCTTTCATATACACACGGACTATAAAAACTTTTGGAAACTGCTCACATCCTAGGCCTCATTAGGTTTGGAGGATTTTATAAGAAAAACATAGGAACTAGGATTTCATAGGAAAATTTCCTATATATGCATTCAGTTTGTAGGAAATGCGTATAGGAATTTCGTAGGAATAATATTCATTTTTTGTATTTTTGGAGAAAACTACACATCCACTCAAAGTTTATTTTTACGCGTAGGAATAAGGCAAGTCAATTACTCAATTCCTCCAAACCGAACGAGCCCCTACTAATTTTCATATGATTTCTTCCATTGAGTTTTGCTCTGTTGAGGCTGTTTGTATCACCGGACGAAGTTGGAATGAACACATCTGTTTGAGCGCCAACTAATTTTGAACAGAGAAAATAAGAAATTTCTGGCACCAGCAGGGGCAAGGTGGATGCATCCTTGGTCTGCCCGGATGTACGTATCATGTATGTATAATCTCGCCGTCATCATCAGAAACACACAGATCTGATCTGAATCCGTGGGCCTTTCCCCTCCCGCGGCCAGTGCATGCCAAGGGAAGAAAGGCTGCCACGAATTGAAACTGGAATTCAAAGGACCCCATGCATGGAATGGAACCGGTAGGGCAGTCAAGGCGGCCATGATCAGATCAGGAGCCGTGGTGAGTGGTGACCGCCAGTTTTGGGAGCGATTGCGAGGCGGACGAGATGCAGCAGCTGCCCGAAAGACGTAGTACGCCGCACGGGGCAAAAGCTCGCCCGGCCCGGTTCTTCTTTTCTGGTGGCAGCTGGAGCCTGGCTAGCTAGAGTAGAGGGTTGGGTTGTGTGGAGCTGTGATGATGAGCGGTGGATCTCGGTGGCCCGTGCGCGCGTCCCGGCCGGTCGTGAAGTAGGGCAGTACGTGGTGATTAAGATCGAACGTAGATCGCACTATATATGGTATATGTGTATGTATATTTGTACCCCCGTGCATCGTCTTCGAAGCTTTGCACGATGCAAACAGTATTTTTTTTCTAGAATACGCAGAACGTGCGTATCATATATTAAAGACGATGCAAATTATTGATTGATGGACAAAAGCATGTATTGTTTTTCTAGAGTACGCACATATATTAAAGACAATGCAAAATTGTTGATGATGGACAAAAGCATGTACGTATTGCCGTATTAGTTTATAGAGCATGCATGTCACATGTTTTCTGCCACACGCCTCTCCCTTCTCTTCAGAGTTTTCTTTTCATATTAGTACGTGTTTCATTCATATAATAAAGATCAAGTTACAAGTCACGTAAACACCGATACACCGACTCTTCTCTTCAGAGTTGAGAGGCGGTATTCCTTGTTCAGTTAACTCATAAACCTAGCTAAGTTCGAATGATACGCCTCGTGTTTTCATGACTAATTAGCTATATTTTGTTTCATATTTTTTTAACACAGTACAATCGAAGTCGCTCACATACATAAGCATACAATCATCCTTATTAACGCACACCTTATCCCTATAAGCATCTCGGAGAGACTAATAAGCCAACATAACATCTTGAGACTAATTAGCTGTGTTTTGTTTCATATACACAGAGCACGGACGGAAATGCACACAAATAAGATTCGGATATACGTACGTATATGCACCAGGAATTTTGTAGTGCATGCAAGACTATACGGTGCCACTTGGAGCTAAAGCAATGCACGGCCGGGGTGGCAAAAAGAAAAGTAGGCCGACCCGACTAGCGTCTCTTCCGGATCTAAACACCGCAATGATGCCAAACATGCCTTTCGCCTTTCTCTTTCGCTTGTGCGTTTGTGTGTGCTGCTGCTGTGGGGTTGGAAACTTGGGATATGGCCTAGCTGCATGCTCCATACATCCATGCCTCCAAACACACGTACACGTCTTCTCCGGCCGTATGTCCACCTTCAGCTGCCTGGAGGTATACTTCCTGCAGGACGAGGCGCTGGCACTAGAGTTTCCATGTCACCTTTTGGCTGGTTTCTGTACAGATAAGAATTTATTGATAGGGCTTAAGACGCTTAAGGTTTAGCGTTGAGAGTTTTTACGGTACATCATACTACTGGATATAATGGGTGGTATTGAGTTGATCCAATGGCTAGCACAATTCGGCTTAGAATTTGTTTGAGGATAGATCGGTAATTTCCCAACAGGGTTAAATTTCTCCTTCATTATCCTAATAATTAATCTAGTTAGTTAACTGAGATAGTCGCAGCTGTATGACGCACTAACGAAGTTCCTTCCGCCGGTGCAGCTGTATGTCCTTCGTCGGTCATCCCGCCGCCTTCCCCCACCAGTTGCACATCCCTGCCTACCGTCGCGCCAAGGCCCAAGAACGAGTCCAAGAATACCCTGCATACAGGGCGCTGCCTTGAACCTAGAACCGGCGGATCCCTCGTCTGCATGACTAGTAGCACCTTCGTCTTCTTGCCTTCTCTTCTTTTCCCCACACAGACTGCACATCGGTTTTCCCCCTAGTACGTGCATGTGTCCATGCCCCCGGCGACGGCTGGACCGAGGTCGCCGAGCTGCTGTGCAGGGAGATGGTGGTGGGGAGATGAACGCGATGGAGGAACGGATAGGGGCGGCGAGGGAAGGGGAGGCGTGAGAGGTCAATACATGGTGTTGCATGGGTGCGGGCGAAGGACGGCAATGGCAGGGCGCCGGACGGCGCTGGCTGTAACCCGCCCATTGTAGTGCCGAGAAGATGCGACGCTGGAGAAGAGATGACATGGAATTCCAAATCTCCCCTTCGTCTTAATTCTGGATAGAGCCTGCTGCTGCGGGTGTTTATGACCATGAACTACCCAAAATGCCCCTGAGGCCGAAATATACTACCCGAATTCTGGTGTAGTATTACGACTTCTGGGCCATCGGATCATAAAAATAAACGGCCCAAAATAGTTTGATGTACCGTAAAAGGTCTCGTAGCGTTTCACATGGGATAGCTAGCTAGCTTTTGGTAAACATGTTTCCAGCGAGTTAAAGTCACC